TCTTCTTTTTCTTCTTCTTCTTCTTTCCTGGCCCGGGAGACAGAAAAGCTCATCAGAAACCATGTGGAGCTAATGGCAAGGGATGAAGCACTGTGTCCGGAGACCTCCACCCTTTGATGGTACCCACACTGTTCTCAGCTGACTAAGCGAGATTAATTGGAAATGAGGCTTACTGTTCACAAGGATGATCTAATAGGTTTCTGCCCAGCCCAGACCCCTACCCCACACTGTGCAACCCACTTCAGTATCAGAAGCCTACGGGCTGAGAGGCAAGGCAATGGTTCAGGGCTACAGTTTGCTCTGGCATGGGACACAATGAGAGGCCAATGGGGCTGGGCCGGCCATAAATCCAAACCCATGCGCCAAACCATTGTATTTTCAATTGCCTCATATGCATGTGAAATTTGAATAAGGAAGACTGAAGAAGAATCAATATGCTTGAATTGTAGGTGCTGAAGAGAAATAGTGAATGTACTATGGACTGCCAAAAGGACAAACAATTCTGTCTTGGAAGAAGTATGACCAAAGTGCTCCTTAGAGGCAAAGACGGCAAAACTTCAATTAACATACTTTGAACATGTTATCAGAAGAGACCAATCCCTACAGAAGGACACCATGCTGGGTAAAGGAGAGGGGAAGAAAAGAAGAGGAAGGCCCTCAATGAGATGGATTGACACAATGGCTACAACAGTAGGCTCAAACAAATGAGCAATTGAATAAGGAAGACCAAAGAAAAATTGATGCATTTGAACTGTGGTGCTGGAGAAGAATTTTGAAAATACCATGTACTGCACAAAGGACAAATTTGGAATAAATATGGCCAGTATGCTTCTCAGAGACAAGGATGGTAAGATTGAGTCTTACCTAATTTAAACATGTTGGTAGAACAGACCAGTCCTTAGAGAAGGATATCATGCTTGGTAAAGTGGAGGGACAGCGAAAAAGAGGAAGGCTCTCAGTGAGATGGATTGACACAATGGCTGCAACAATGGGCTCAAACATATTGAGGCAATTGGGAGAAGGGTGTAGGACCAGGTAGTGTTTTGTTCTCTTGTGGTTTAGAACCGCCTCAATAGCACCTAACAACAATAACAACACTAAGGACTGTATTCCAACAAATGTGAAAACCTAGAAGTAATGGAGAAACTTCTGCAAACATACTACCTCCCTAAATTAACACAAGCTGAGATAGAAACTTCAACAGGCCTATAACAAAAGAACTCAATTAAGTTATTTACATTTTTTCAACAACAGCAACAAAAATACAGAACCAGACAACCTCACTGGGTAATTCTACCAGACATTCAGAATATTGAAAAAGGTGGCACACTCCCAAACTCATTTTATGAAGTTAGTAAAACCCTGGATAGCCATGTAGTGTTTTCTTATGTAGTGCTGGGTCGGGGCCAATTCCATGCCACTTAAAAACAACAGTATAACCCTAATACCAAAATCAGAAAAAAGAAATCACTGAAGTAGAAAATTGCACACCAATATCCCTTAACAATACAGATGTAAGAATTCTCAACTAAATCCTAGCTTTAAAAAAGACCATGGGGATCATTTATAATGTCCTTCAATAAAATAGTAATGATGTGTTTAAAGTCAACAGGGGCATATATAAGCTATAGATAAACAAATGGATTTTTAGCTCACAATTGATTGTAGCACCAATCTAAGAACAATCAGTTCTTATTATATGGCCCTGCTCAATACCTACACACATGAAGTGATCACTAGAGATATGGGTGTGATAGCAAAGTATGGTGAAGAAAGAAGATGATGCCCAGTTATCAGAAAGAATAACATCTGGAAGTCTTAAAAGCCTGTCTTCAAACAAGTAACCATCTAAATGAGGTGTCAGCTAAGTCAACATGGAAGAAGCACACCAGCATGTGTGATTCAAGAATTGTAAATAATAAAAACCAAACCCAGAGGAGAGAATGATGTTAGATCTTAAATTCTGAACATGACTTGCAGAAAGCTGCAGATGACAGTGAAAGCCCAACAAAATCTATTTGCATGATTAAGCCTCAGATGAATGCCCTCTGACTACAGACCAGGCAGAATACATTGTTTGTTGTTGATTATTGTTTGATTGTTTATTGTTGATTACTGCAATTGTAATAAGGTCAAAATATGAAACCTTGTCATTGATTTCTCTCTTCACTCAGTGTATTATTGTTCTGGTGTTTTCAATATTTTCTGCTTTGTTATTGATTGAAGTTTTTCTATTTTATTGTGTCATTGTTGGACCACTTGTTTCTATTCTATATTGATTTTGTATAATTCTCTGTATATGAAACCCAGATTAGGTAAACATACAGAGACAATGGCTGGATCAATAGATTCAAAGGGGACTGACAGGAAATGGGGAACTAATGCGTACAAGAGCTCATGAGGGAGGAGGGAGCAGGGAGGGAGGGGAAAAAAGAGGACCTGATGCCAGGGGCTTAAGTGGAGATCAAATGTTTTGAGAATGATGAGGGCAATGAATGTACAAATATGCTTTACACAATTGATGTATGTATGGGTTGTGATAAGAGTTGTATGAGCCCCTAATAAAACGATTAAAAAATAAATAAATAAATTTCATTATTAAAAGAAAGAAAGAAATGTCCTGGAATTGATTTTGATGATGGCTGCACAACTTTTATGAATGTGATTGAACTATTGAAATGTATGATACGTGACTGTGTCTGTGTAATATGTGATATGTGTCTGTGAAATTGTTAATAAATAAATAAGCAAACTAATTGAAAAATAAGAAGGACCCAAATCCTCACAACTAGATCAGTGAACAGCATCATGATGGATAGAGAAAGGATTAATGTAGACAAGGAGTTCATCTTGCTTGGATTCACAATCAATTCTCATGAAAAAAAGCATTCAAGAGATCAAGAGACATGTTGCATTGGGCATCTTGCATGTTACATCTGCTGCACAAGACCTCTTTAAAGTCTTAAAAAGCGGGGCAATTACTTTGAGGAAAAAGGCATCCCTGGCCCAAGCCATGGTATTTTCAACTGCCTCATATGTATGTGAGAGTTGAACATTAAATAAGGAAGACCGAAGAATAATGAATGCATTTGAATTGTGGTGCTGGCAAAGAATATTGAACTGCTAAAGAACATGGACTGCTAAAAGGAGAAACAAATCTGTCTTAGAAGAAGTACAGCCAGAGTGCTCCTTAGAGGTAAGTATGGCTGGTAAAACTTGGTCTTTCGTACTTAGGACATTTTTTTTCACAAGATACCAGTGCCCGGAGAAGGACATTATGCGTGGTAAAGTGGAAGGGCAGTGAAAAAGAGGTAGGCCTGTAATAAGATGGATTGACACAGTGACTGCCACAATTGACTCATGTATAGGAACAATTGTGAGGATGGCACAGGACTTGGCTTTTTTTTTAAATTTTTTGTGCATAGGTCAAACCCAACTCAATGGCACCTAACAACAACAGCCTGCTTGAGTGTTGAATTGGATCCAGGCCAAATGAAGTCCTTGACCACTTCAGTCTTACTCCATTCATCATTATGTTGTCTATTGTTTGAGCAGTGAGGATTTTCATTTTATTTACATTAAGTTGCAATCCATACTGAAGCTGCAGTCTGATTTTCATTAGCAAGTGCTTCAAGTCCTTGCTTTCAGCAAGTAAACTTGTGTCAACTACATATCGCCGACTGTTAATAATCCTTTCTCTAGTCCTGATACTGTGCTATATTACATAATACTGTTGTAAATATGTATATAAAACATTTGCCAAGTCAACTCTGGTCTGATTGCTGATGGTTATTCACAAGAGTATATTGCAAGTCTCCCTTTATCACTTCTTTATATTGACATCAACAACTTTTTCCTTCTAGGCTTTCTTTCAAATATGTGTTGGTTATATTATTTAATCACCCCCATAATTACATAAACTTGTGTAAAACTAAAATAAAAAATTCTAACTAATAGAATCCAACAAAACATCCAAAAAAAGTAGTAATTCATGATCAAGTGGAATTCATACCAGGTATGAATTCATACCAGGTATGATGGCTCAACATTAGAAAAATAATCAATATAAATAAACAAAACAAAAGAAAATACATGTATTTTCATATTGATAGATATAGAAAAAAGCATTTGACAAAACCCAACACACATTCCTGATTAAAATTTTCAATAAAGCAGGAATAGAAGGTAAATTATTTGATATAATAAAAGCCATATATTAAAAACTAAAGGACAATAACCCAGTCAGTGGGGATATACTTAAAACATTTCCCTTGCTAATGGGAATCAGGTAAGGATGTCCCTTATTCAACATTGTACTGGAAGTCTTATCCAGAGCTATTAGACCATCTGCATAAAACTAACAGCCAGTATCTCATTGAGTGGGAAGAAACTGAAAACATTCCCCTTGCAAATTGGAACCAGAAAAGGATGTTTTTATCACCACTCTTATTCAATATTGTGTTAAATTTCTTAAACAGAGCTATAGACAACAAAATGAAATCAAAAGCACCCAAATTGGCAAAGAAGAAATAAAACTCTCTATTTGAATGTGATATGATTCTTCACATAGAAAAATCCCCAAAGACTCTGCAAGAAAATTATTGGAAATAATTGAAAGATTTGGCAACTGGCAAGGCACAAGAATAGCATATAAAAACCAATCAAATTTCTATATACTTGCTAAGAGAGCTCTGAAAATGAAATCAAGAAAACAATACCATTTACAATAGTCACCCAAAATATGAAATACTTATAAATAAATCTAATCAGAGAAACAAAATTTGTGCAAAGTAAACTACAAAACCCTACTAACAAGCAGCCCAAAGAGACTTACATAAGTGGAAAAATGTTCCATGTCCATGATTAGGAAGTCAACTTGGTGAACATATCAATTATACCCAACACAATCTATGCATATAATGCAATTCTGATCCAGACCCCAGAATCATACTTTAAAGAGATGGAAAACTAAACACCAACACTATATGGAAAGTATAGGGACCCCAGATAAGCATTGCACTCCTAAAGAACAAAGTAGGAGAACCCTCACTATCTGACTTCAAAAATACAGTATAATCACAGTTGTCAAAACAGGTTGATTGTTTTATAACAATAGATACTTAGAGAAATAGAACAGAATCAATGATGCACAAATAAATCCACCCACCTATAAACAAATTACTTTTGAAAAGGGCTAAAAAAAATCAAATGAGGTCGAGATAGTTTCTTCAGCAAATGTTGACAAAATTACATTTCTATTTCCAGAAGAATGAAACAGGACGTGTACATTTTTCCATTTACAAAAACAAACTCAAACTGGATTAAATATTTAAATGTAAACCCTAGAATTATAAAGATCAT